AAGGGGTCGTAAGGGGCATGAAAATCTTTTAGGTTTTGACCCAAAATCCAAGTTGTCTCGTCATGACAACATTAATGCAGACTGCTGAAAAAATTCAAATATTTATAAATAAGTATGAAATACCTTTCTTTTTTCACCGATTTCAACATCATTCGTTTTAGATGGAATAATTTCCTGAATATCGTCATCAAGCGTCTCAATGAAATCATCCTCTAACTCTTCCGATGAGTCCAATTCAAACTTCTTTTTCTTCTTACCATTCTTCCTTGAGTGTGGTGCATCTGAATGCATTGAAGTTAACCAAAAATACCACAATTTGAGTAAAAACAAGAAATTGCACCGATTAAAACAATACGAGTACACTGAATGTCATTCATGTTATCATACTCTCTTAATGTACCGATTCTTATTAAATATACTCATTGTCAGCAAAAGCTATCAGTGATTCTAGCAATATTATTGCATAACATTCGTAAAGATTAAGAACCCAAATGTTCACCATTATCAATACCTTTATCATTATTCACGTCGTTTGTCTTCTTCATGAATTTCCTCACATCTGCGCCCTCTTTCTTTGGTTCACTTTTAGGTTGACGAGGTTTCGACGCTTTTTTCGATTCGTATTTTTCTTTCACTGAATCAATTTTTGGCTCGACACGAATGCCATTGGGGTCTGGTAGAACCTCCTGAAAAACTCTTTCAATCGAAAGAAAATGACAACTTCTTAATCTCCAATTTACTACGCTAGGTCGCGATAGGGAAACTGACGAAGATAGAATGAGTCAGGCTTAATTTCTGAACTAATCCTACAGCAACAGTTCGACTGAATGCAGTCCCAGGTTTAAGTAATGTCTGCCTCAAAACTTCACAGTTATTTGGAATATTTGACGAGTGTTCTGTTTTTGCTGGCTGCCAAGTGAATTGTTACCATGAACGTCTCGTACAACTCAATTCGTTCCAAGCTTGTATTCAGTGAATATGAATATAAACTGATAAATATGAACAGGATGAATATTGTATCGACGAAACCTTGGCAATATAAGATGTATCTGCTTTCTTCTTCCTCCCAATACCTATAATTTCCTTCGCCAGTTTCTTCGCAACATTCTTTATTTGAATTTCTTGATCGGCCTTCTCTTTAGCTTCCTGAAATTCATTTGAAAATTTCTTTCCAACGAACTGACTGAGCAAAATTATAATTAACAGTGTAAGTCAGGCACTAAATTGTACCTTCTGGGAAAAGGGAATTGTCAATATGAATTTCATGTATATGATTGAAGAAATAAATAAAACAATGAATACAAAAACGAAATCAAAAATAAATTGACCTGTTTGTCGAGCTCTACGATGAAATTATCCAAGTCTTTAATCCACAAATCACTCCACTCTGTCTCTTCCAATGTCTGTTCGATGAAATTTTAGAGATAAATGCGGAGCAAATGAAAGGAATAATTCATTTTGATGGTTGACAAATAATAATAACTCAAACGATCAGAATATTAAACACTAATAAAAATAGAAGTACAGTATGATTGCTGCACCTTCAGTTCTTCCAGCTTGTCACC